ATGTCTTTAACCCTAGCATTTGAGGGGCAGAGAAACATCCGGATCTCTGTGAGTTCAAGGCCACACTGAGAACAGAGACAGGCATGGTGGCACATGCATTTAATGCCAGCACTAACCATAGAGGTCTGGAGGTCTGTACAGAAAGACAGGAAGTGATGTAGCTGGGTGGAGAGAGGAAGTGAGATGCAGAACAGAAAGGCATATAGGGTATACAAGAAGTAGCTCTCTTTGGCTGAGGATTTCCAAGTGGTAAGAGCATGGCTGGCTTCTTTCTACTTTTCTGATCTCTCAGTTTTTACCCCAATATCTAGCTCTGGATTTTTTATTAATAAGACCATTTAGCAATTTGTCTTACACATTCTAAATCTTAACCTTATACCCCTTACACCTATAAGTAAGCGTGGCCATAATGCCTCACCAAAGAAGCTTCTCTTTACAGGGAAAGCATTAGGAGCAGGAGCAGGAGTCTGGAAGCTCAGATTGCCTTATCAATCATGAAACAGAAAAAAAGAAGTGGGGCCTGGCTATAAAACCTCAAGGTCTGCCTTAGGGACCCACTTCCTCTGGTAAGATTCTATCTCCTAAAGGCTCCATAAGCACCCCAAACAGAGCCACCAGCTCAGGAACCAAGCATTCAAATGCCTAAATCTAGGAGGGACATTCTGCACTCAAACCACATTTGGACTCTGAGCCCATACTATGTTAATGGTCAACTCAACAGTGCAAAATGCATTAAATCAACTTCAAAATTTCCCATAGACACTCAGTCCCAGCACTGTTCAAAAGTCCAAATTCTCTTTTGAAACACAATCTCTTAACTATGGGTTGAGTTACATACTTAAACAAGTTACATACTTCCAATATATAATGGCACAAAATAGACATTCACTGCAAAAGGGAGGAATGGAAACATACCAAGGAAAAAAACTGGACCAAAGGAAGACCAAACCCTTTCAGGGCAACCACTCAATCCTAAAGCACCAAACCAGGCATCCTGGACTCATGATGGATTCTTCTGTTCTCCAGAGGGTTTGGCTGGCCTGGTTCCTCTGTTGTGTATAACATACATATTCTCTCTCTTACACAGGCTCCATTCCATGTCTGGCTCTTTCCTTGATGGATGTCCTATGGTCCTGGCATCTCCAACATTCTGGGGCCTCCACTTCAAATGAGACTGATAAAATCCCAGCTTCATGCAATAGCCTTTCAGGGCCGCTTTACAGAAGCTCTAACATGGTCACACACTGCCTGGTCTCAGTAGCTCCCTGGAACTTTGGAGTAAGGATCCATGATCTCTCAGTCTTGCATTTTTCATGCTAGCAATATCAGTAAAAGTTAGACTACATTGTCAAGTTCTGCTGCCAGCCCAAGATGTAGCCTGGCTGTTTTGAACCACAGCTGTAATTCCTGGGTATGCCTTTGTAGATGATGAATCTGCAATATCACTTTCCTAGGCAATTGTTTCCAGCAAAAAACCCCATTCTGTGGTATGCTCAGTTAGGCTGCTTTCTCCTTCCAAATAAATTTTCATTTTTACAAGTTGGGCCTTTGATGGGTGAGCTAATGCCTTCAGGGCACTTTTCCTATTGAAGACAGTGAGGTTACTCTTGAACAATTATAAATGCTTTGTCCTCTGAATGTTCTGCTCCTTGTCCACAATTTTAAACTTGCTCACACAACATTCCTTGCTAAACTTCATGTATTTCATCCTTTTACTCTCACTGTCAATGTGAATAAGAACAGTGAGAAGTAGCCATGTCACAGACTGAATGCTATGCTACCTTGAAATTTCCTCTACCAATGAAATTAATCTATTGCTTTTTAATTCAACCTCACACAAGCTCTCACCCATGAGCAGAGTACTGCCAAGTTTCTTTGCCCCAATGTAATTATAGGGAGCCCAGTTCTAGACAGTCTCTGTTTCCCTCTGAAACCTCACTTAGCCCAGGCCTCTACTGTCTGCACACCACTTATCATTCAGTCTTCCGAACTCCCACCAGAATAGCCCATTAAGCTCTTCTCACAGCATTCTGTGGATTTTCTAGCCCAAAGTTCCAAATCTTCCACATTCCTGTGGTAGTCTGAATGTAATTGGCCCCTATAATCTCAGAGGAAGTGGCACTATTAGGAGGTATGGCTTTTTTGGAGTGGGTATGGCCTTGTTTGAGGAAGTGTGTCACTGTCGGGGTGGACTTGGAGATTTCCTATGCTCAGGACACCTCCCAGTGTTTCCATGGACTTGCGTTGCCTGAAAGATGTAGGACTCTCAGTTACTTCTCCAGCACCATGTCTGCCTGCAAGCGGCTATGTTTCCCACCATGATGATAATGTACTGAATCTCTGAAGTGTAAGCAAGCCATCCCAATTAAATGCTTCCTTTGTAAGAGTTATTGTGATCATGGTGTCTCTTCACAGCAACAGAAACCCAAACTAAGACACTCCTCCTGTAAACCAGTTCTAAAGCCTAAGAAGTACATGATTAAATTTATAAAAACAAAAGCCCCACTTCTCAGTACCAATTTTCTGTGCTGATTGTTTTTCTCATTGCCATGACCAAATACCTGAGAAGACACTATTTAAAGGAAGAAGTGTGTTTATTCTGGCTAACAGTTTCAGGGGATCATTCCATCTTGGCAAAGGAGGTGTGTCAGCAGGAAGGGAAGGTATGGTAGCAGGAGCAGAGTCTAGCACATCACACTGTGTTAGCAATAAGGAAGCAGACAGAAAAAAGGAAATGGGGCCAGACTATAAAACCTCCACTACCCCCAAAAGACACACTTCCTCTGACAAGTTACCCAGGGGTTTCATACCCTTCCCAAACAGTACCATCAGCTTGGAACTAAATTTTCAAACATATAAGCCTATGGAGGATATTTCTCATTCAAACTATAATACCAATGATAACTTGATATTTGACGAATATTGAGCTGAGCATTAAAGATGATGTGAAAAGCACAAAAAGACATTTTCCTTACACTATTGGAGTTTACAGTCTCAAGAATCAACATGAATCAACCATGCCTCAATACAAACATACAAAGACACACAGACACACACACACAATAATGACTTTAATAAATATCTGTGTGTATGTAGACATGAATTTACTCATTATGAAGCAGTCTTGCAGGTGAGAATATATTCTACATAGGACTCACCAATTCAGTGCTAGAAGATTGTTTAACCTCTACTATACTATAATGGATAATTGTTCCCAAAGTTAATGTATTCATTCATAATTGAGTATAAAGTAAAGAAGTTAATACAGACAAAATTATGACTATCTATACATTATTTGGGAAGCTTGGTGAAAAATGAAAATGAAAAAATCTTCTGTTCAGAAATGTTAAGCATTTCAAGACACAGACAGTAGGACCTACAAAGCCTAGAGCCCTGTAAGATTACACATGTCCCTCACCTATAAAACTTTCATGTCTTCCACATTTATTGGATATATAAGTTTTATTTGGTTACTTAACTTACCTTAGGTTCATTACAGCTATTAACACAGACAAAGAAAAGACTTTTAGTTCCTTCCCATAACTACCATCTATGGCTTTCTGTGAAGAAGCAAAATAACTCATTTGAAGAGAGTTCTTTTGTCCTTTTACAAAACCATTAAAATTCTGACAGTGACTCAACATTGCTGTTAAAAACTCATACACATTATTTTACCATCAACCATATCGACTTTTTTATTTCTATACACCTCCTTAATTTTGCCTAAGAGAAAAAAATCTCCAATGTAGTGTTCCAAGTTTACTATTTTCCCATGTATGCCACTTAAATCTAAAATTCCCAACTGAGATCTCTATGTCTAGAAAGTAATTTTCCCACAGTAAAATGTCTCCTTGCACAAATTAGATATTTTCTTTTTCCTATCCCTGAAAAATTATCTATTCAGAATCAACTTCCACATATGGTACAGCATCTGGGTCTGATCCAGTAAAGGAGGCAAAATGTCATGTTAAAAGTGAATTAACCCCTCCGTTTCACCAGTCCTGTGCTTGCTAGGGTGTAGCTGTAACTGTCTAAACCAGGGAGGTTAGTCTATGGACAGAGTTCTAGGAGTTAAATAGCATGGGTGTACAAAAGGATATCTTTATTTTCATCAACCTCTGACCTAAACAATTATGAAGCCAAGCAATGAAACCACCAGAGGATTAGCAATATCTATGACTTGATCACTGATAATTTTATATATCCTCTTATATCATTTTCACTCCATATCATATTATCTATTGCATATTTCTTGAAATATCATTTCTTCTTAACATTACATCAAAATTTAATGGTGTTGCAATCACTATTATATCACCAGAGGCTAAAGTAGAAAGAGGTCCAGTTCAAAGTCTCCCTGGGCTATGTTTTGAGGTCAAGGCCAATCAACTTAGTGAGACCATCTCAAAATGGAGAACAAAAAGAGGGCTGGGAATATAGCATAGGAGCAGAGCACTTACCTAGCATAGTCAATTTCCATAAATTTTAATGTTAGTAAAAGCCATATATTGTGATAACACAATAATGATTTTTACATTTAGATAAATATTTCCATATAACTTAGTTCTTTTGTAATCCAATTACCTCATCTTATGAACTTAAATCTATGATCCCAAGATAAGGTCCATTTATTTTGCCAGACTTACACGAGAGTCCATGGCACATAAAAGGTGAAGAAATGGCATCAAAGGATGTTACGGAGCTCATAAGACAGTGAAATAGAGGCAACTGTACTGTGGTCTCACAAGGGAAGTTCTCCCACTGAATGACCTGGGAATTCTAATTCAACAACACGTTTAAATTGTAACAAAATTGTCACAGTTTTTTAGGTGATTTCATATTTGAATGATTTCCTATGAAAGCAAATATCAAAGCAAAGCAGTTTATGAGGGGTTGTTTGTTTTTTCAATTTTAATGGCATGTGACCATAGGATTCTATCTAAAAAAGTATAACCCAAATACATTGTTATATCAAATTAAAATGATATTTGGGTTGGTACCTGAGATGACAATAGATTACAATCAATGAACAGTCCTTTTCCAGTTCTGTAACGTCGTATGAGGCCAGCCATAATGGCTCCATAGGCAAACAGGCCAGTGGCAAGGTCAGTCATGGCCACTCCTGGGCGAACAGGCTCTCCATCCTGATTTGAGGGTTGAATGGGAAAAACAGAAATTAAATAATGAACCATCTTATATTTTTCAGACATTCTGTGGCTAAACAAAAGAATATTTGAAGCATTCATATCTACACATGAGCAGACACATACACATGAATAAATCTAAATATTAGTATTAAGGATATCAATTGATAGAAATGTATTTATAATAAATGTATATTTATCACTGTATTTCTCAAGAGGCATACAAACCAACCTAAACCAAGTTAAAGGAAGTAAGAAATCTTTATTTAAAGGAAAAAGTAATAAATGAATTGCTGGATTTGAATGTAAATGTATGTTAATCTGCCAGAAAAGAGTTGAAATATTGTTTTTCTCCTGTTGGATGAAATGCTGTTTTATAACAGAAACAGCAGAAGGAAGAGGAAGAGAAGAAGGCAAAAAAACCTGGTTTAGTTTCCTTATAATCATGCTAATAGCTGGCAAATATCCTAATGGCATATGCCTTTTAAAAAGATTCATAATGACACATATGTGTGAAAATATCATAATGAAACCCATCACTTTGTATATTGACTTTAAAAAATAATTTTAAAATTATATTTAAAAAAGACAAAGCAAGCTGATTAATATTTACATGTACTTCTGCAGAAATTTATAAAAAGCTAAAAATAGTAATACTATGTGATGAACCTTAGCGACAACCAAAGACATATAATCCCTAAAAATGAGTACAAATATTTTAATGTTGAAAAGCAGTTTAATCATTAAAATTTCACTATAACTAGTGCTAAGACCTTAATCAAACTTCAAAAAATTGTTCCTCCACTACTTTGGGCACATCTTCTTCAGGTATGGAGGCCCAATGTAAGCAGCCACCAATGCCATTCACCCCTGTCCCACATTCTTGCCTGCATCTCGACCCAGGGAGCCCATACACCCGCTCCTAACTCAACTCTAACCACCCTGGCCAAACTACTCATCCCCACTAGGCATATCTGGTCTCTTCTCTGCAAAGACACAAGATTGTTGCCACCAACAACACACTCCCTCCACCTAAGGATTGCCTCTCTTCAGAACCACACCAGCAACTCTATCCCCCACTTACACCTGCCTAAGAAACATTTCTGCTGTGCCTGCTTTCCTTCTCCTCCTTTCCCACACCCACATCAAGTAGGGAAGCCCAACTCACACTGGTAACTCCATCCACCCCTGAAAGCACCCTTGTCCCCCTCATCCCAAGGCATACAGCCAAAAGTTCTGCCACCATCCTACCCATCCACCCCCTACCAACTCCATCCATCACATTTCACACACTTGGCACCTTCTGTAGACAGACACTAAACTTATGCTACCAATAGTAGCCATCCATACCACCTGAGGACACCCCCCATCTCCAGAGAGAGATACTAGACCCACACCAGCAATAGCAATAGTACCTATAGACTGAGGAAAAGTCCAAAGCATCTCAACCAAGCTCCTTAAGGTTAAATGTAAAAATCCTCTGACTCTACAGAGGGTTTGCTTCTGAGCTGATAAATTTCACTTAACTTAAGCAGAGCCAGGACTATTTCTGATATCCCATTTCAACACTTAAACTGAATTGCCCAAGACTCAATCTTAAGCCCCATACAAATAGCTAGCCACCTGACAAGTTGGAGTAATAGGAAACATAACTTTAAACACTCATTCAACAATATAGAAATGAGATTTCCATACCAAGAAATACTACTAACATTCTAACTCCAGATGCCTAGGTCCTGTGGCAAATATACAAACATAAATACACAAATCAATAAGTCTCTATCAAAAATTAGTTCTTCCATAGTAATGTCCCTAAGAAAAGTGACTTAGATAATGTACAAGACAATGATGTCAAAATAGAAACAATAAACATCATCAAAGAACTCAAAGAGGATAGGGGTAAATGTCATAATGAAGACCAGAAAAACACAACAGTTGAATGAAATGATGAAAACAATTGAAGATATGAAAATAGAATTTAATAAGGAAATAGAAATTCTGGGGGATTCAAGTGAAATACTCAAGAATTCAGACAAAAAAATTAGAGGAAAGCCTTACCAACTGACAGGGTCAAATGGAAAAGAGAATGTCAAGTCTTTAAGACAAGGTAGAAGAATTTCTTCACATAGTCAAAGAAAATGTCAAATCCGGGGGTGGGGGAGACATGTGCACCTCTAGGACACGATAAAAAGACCAAACATATGAATAACAGGCATAAAAAGACGAGACCCAGGCCAAAGGCATGAAAAATATTTTCAACAGAACGACACAAGATATCTTCCCTAATATATGAAAGGAGATGTCTATCAAGATCCAAGAGGCATGGAGAATAACAAAGAGAAGGAAGTAGAAAATAAACTATGTAAGGCACGTAATAGTCAAAACATTAAATATACATAGCAAAGAAAGGATATTGAATGTAGCAAGAAAAAAAGATAACACATACAGAGCAGGTCCATCAAAATTACAGCAGATTTTGCACTAGAGACCATGAAATCAAGAAGGGCTTGGGACCAATGTTCTATGACTTATGAAAGGCCAAAGATATCATCCTAGACCACTATATCCAACAAAGATATAAGTCATAATTGAAGGAGAAAGGAAAATATTTCAACACAAAATGATATTTAAGGAAATTAGGACCACTAAGCCAGCTCTACAGAAGATACTGCAAGAAATACTTAACTCTGAAGAGAAGGTTAAACACACTCAATAAGGCACAAGGAACAAGTAATCAATTTCAGAACACTGAAAGAGATCTAATTGAAGATCACAACAGCAACAAAATGACAGAAATTAATACACATTTTTCAATAATAGCTTCATTTTTATGTTCAATTTCCCAATGAAGACACACAAACTAACAGACAAGAATCAGAAAACAAGATCTGTCTTGTTGCTGCCTTCAAGATACAACCCTCATGACCAATGATATATACCACTACAGGATAAAAGAATGGAAAAAGGTATTACAAGCAAATGAACTAAGAAATAAGCAGGTATAGTATTCTAATATTTGACAAAACAGACTTCAAAGCAAAATGAATTAGAAGAAACACTTTATCCTTTCATTGGTTAAAAAAAAAAGTCCAAGAAGAGACTATAGCAATCCTAAACATATATGCACCCAAAATAGCAGCTAAGTTTCATAAAAGAAACACTACTAGACTTAACACCACAGATAAAACCCAAAATAGTGACAGATGGTAGTTTCAAGACCAAATTTTAACCAATAGGCAGGTTATCTGAAAAAGGACTAAATAGACTAAATAAAGAGACTCTGGAGTTAAATGACATCAAAAAATTAAATGAACCTAATACATATACACAGAACATTTTACCCAAACACTAAAGAACACACATTTTTCTTAGCAGCCCATGGGAGTTCCCATTAAATTAAAAGACACAAAACAAATCTCAACAAATGAAGCAAAACCAAAATCACATGCTCTGTTCCATGTGAACACCAGACAAGACAGAAAGCACACTAAATCTTAGAAGTTAAACACACAATACTGAGCCAAACTTGGGAGAAGCAAGAAGGTTACTAGCTTTTTTTTCTAGATTTGAATGAAAATAAAAACATAATGAAAGCAGCCATAACAGGTAAGTTTGCAGCACTGTTTCTACATTAAAAGCTTTGTGAGATCTCAAATAAATAACTTAGTGATATATCTGAAGGCCATAGCAAAACAAGAGCAAGCAACACCCTTAAAAAGTAGGTGGAAAGAAATAATAACAGTCATGGCTGAAATTGATGACCAGAAATGAAAAAAAATACAAAAGATCAATGAAATAAGATGTATGTTCTCTGGAATCAGTAACAAGACTGACAAATATTTAGCCAAATTAACCAAAAGAAAGGAGACAGATTAATAAAATTGGAGATTAAAAGGAAGACATCTTAACAAACTCCAAGAAAATTCAGAGAAGCATACAAACATACTTTTAAAATGTTTATATTCCACCAAACTAGAAAGTCTAAAAGAAAGAGATAAATTTATGAAACAGAAGCAGTAATTAAAAATACCCTAACTAAACAAAGCCCAGAACCAGATGGACCCACTGAAGAATTCTATGTAACTTTAAGGAACTAATACCAAAACTTATGAAAGTATTCAATAAAATAGAAAATGAGGGAATATTTCCAAATCCTTTAATGAAGTCAGAATTACCATAATATTAAAATAAGACAAAGGCTCAATTAAAAAAATTATAGACTAATATCACTAAGGAACATAGAAGCAAAAATTCTCAATAAAATATTTAAAAACCAAATTAAAGAACATAAGAAAAAATTATCTACAATGATCAAGTAGACTTCACCCTAGAGATGCAGAGAAGATTCAACATACATAAATCAATAAACATAATCAACTAAATGGACATAAATCACACTATGGTGACATAAATCAACTAAATGGGAAAAAAATCACAAGATCATCTCATTTCATTCAGAAAAAAACTTTGGCAAAACCCACCACTGATTCATGATAAAAAGTCCTGGAAAAAACAGAGGAGACATATCTCAAAACAACACAGGAAGCCCATACCAACATCATCCTAAATGGAGAAAAACTCAAGGCATTTCATAAAAAGTCAGGAACAAAGCTGGGCAGTAGTGGTGCAAGCCTTTAATCCCAGCACTCAAGAGGCAGAGGCAGGAGGATCTCTGCGAGTTTGAGACCAGCCTGGTCTATAGAGTGTGTTCCAAGACAGCTAAGACTACACAGAGAAACCCTGTCTCAAAAAACCAAAAAACAAAAACCAGGAACAAGGAAAGGATATCCACTCTCCCAACTCCTATTCAGCATATTACTTAACTAGAGCACTAAGACAAGTGAAAAGCAGTAAAGAAGATATAAGTAGAAAAGGAAGAAGTCAATGTACCTTTATTTGCAGATAATATAATTCTATATGTGAAAGACCCTAAAGTTAATATATTCAGCAAACTAGCAGGATGAAAACTAATACACAAAAACCAGTGCCTTACTATATAC